CAGCAAGTTCATACTTCTTAAACATATGCTCCTTATCTTCTTTAGTCAAGATTTCATGCTTTGGTGCAATAATTTGTTTGGTAATGTTTACAAACAGTTCAGTAATCTAAAAACAAGATTAATCTAAAAACAAGATCAATGCATTAGAATTCAAAATAGGGAGATTAATAAAATGTAGAAATTCAACTTGATTTGTCTTGAATTGATCTATCTGGTATCTTAGGGGCAAAATTTCCACTTTGACTTCACATTCATTGAACATTGCACGAGTATGATTGTTCATCTTGCCTTGCAAACCTAAGATAATCCAGAGCAAGGTATCCTTTTTGGTAATATTAAGCAAATTGTGCTTCACTTTTGCTTTGTTTATATCCCAAGGACCACATAAAATACCAAAATCTGGAACAATAAACAAAATGAACTAAGATTCAAGCTAAAATCATGGTAAGAAACTGTAAGAAGCCCTTTACCCTTCCCAAAATGTGCTTAAACTGTTGTATCGCAACTAAAACGATGGTATGATCACTACCGCATATGAACATGATTTCAAAAAGTATTACGAAATTGAAAAAATAGTGATAATCATTAAAGCTTTGGGAAGATGTGTAAAAAATTCATTTAATCCTAAACAGTACCAATCAGAAGCTAACATTGATTATGTTGTTCTAATTAGGAAAAAGGAACGAAAGGAAGCTAATCAGGCCACGATTCCCTAACGATGATACTATGGATAGCATCTCCGAGCTTTCTTAACCCTAAAACCTCCACATCGCTATCAGATTCAAGACCAAGCGCGATCAAATTGAGATTTCTAGATTGGCTCGCAAATAGATGTTGTTGTGATTCCTAATTTGAACGTTCGTACTAAATTTGAAGTAGATGATGTTATTCTAATTAGGTTTTACGAGAGAAGACAAGGTGTGTATTTGATGAATTTGATCTGTATTGGGTGTGAAAGAGGGATTTTGATATGTATTTATATCGTATATAGAATAAATTACAATTTACATTCAGAGATCTGCATCTGTTATGTAGAGAGGAAGGGGATGAAAAGTTGCAGTGGTATTAATCGGTGGTTCGGTGATGACGAGGTGTTGGTGGCATCTGGTGGTTTCGATGTAGAAGATGAAGCGAATGATTCAAAATCTAACATTTGTAATGGTGAAGATGCAAAAACCCAGTAATGCCATTTGGGGTATGTGATTCGGTGTTGTGCAGACCAAACTCTTTTGAGTACTTTTTTAATCAAAGCAAGTCATCACATGATCCAAGGGCTATAAATGCGGTTAGCCCATGTAATTTGGTTATATTTTGAACGTCCTTGTTAGATATATATATATATATATATATATATATATATATATATATATATATATCACATGATCCAAGGGCTATAAATGCGGTTAGCCCATGTAATTTGGTTATATTTTGAACGTCCTTTTATATATATATATATATATATATATATATATATATCGATTATATATATATATATATATATATATATGAGAATGTTCAAATGAAAACAATTATGAAATCGAGAATGCGAGAATAAATCTGGGCCACATATTTTTTTTGCCGCAAACCCTCCCACGTATTCATTCAACAGAGGAATGTAATATTCATATGTGAATATAAAGGTAAGTATATTCTCATATATCTCAAATTTGTCGCTTAAGCGCTTCAGCGTACCAGGACGACGGAACATATAATATTCATATAGAATAAGTTTATGTCTATTCACATGTGATTATTCATATAGGAATATGGCGGTTGGTTGCGGAGGTGGTGGTGGTATCGGTGGGTGACATATGTTACACCCTCTTTCCAAATCAGATCGATTTATGGCTTCAAGGAGTCAAAGGCATGGTTTTTTGGTAAAACCATGGCTCACGACGTGACCATAGAAGGGTCACGACGTGATGAGTGATTAAATGAAGATACTGAATTTTACTGAGCTCACGACGTGAGATGCGCTGCAGCTCAAGCCCATGATCTTTAGGGTTTTCTTCGTATTTAAACCCCATAAACTTCATTTTAGGGTTCCAAAAATAGCCTCCTTCGTCCTTAAGCTCAGTAAAACCCTAACCCTAGACTCTCATTTTGATTCTTGAGCTTTTGGTGGTTTAAAGAAGAAGAGATCACCATTGAAGCATAGTTTCAGCTTGGGAGTTCCATTTGCAACCTCTAGCTACACTTCTGGACCATCGTGGGTAACCAAGATCCAAACTTTATGTTTCATTGCTGCAAGATGTAAGGTTTTATGAATATTTATCCATGACTTTAAGAGTAGTGTTGGGAATCCATAAAAATGGCACCTTTATGGGTCCTTAGGGTCCCTTGTTGCTTGTATGTTATGGATCTGAGTTTTGGAGGATGTTTGAGTCCATGCTTGAGAATTTATCTCCCTTTTCTTCATGAATGACCTAGTTTGAGCTCAAGTCTCGTATTGGACATACAAGAACTTAAAGAATTGATTTTTATGATCATTGGTGTTAGGAAGCCTCCTAGAAAAGATGGAATAATGACTTAATGGATTAAGAAGCTTTTGGATCAAAATGGCATTCAGACGGATCTTAAGACGTGAGGAGATGCGTGTCACATCGTGAGGGTTGTGAGAATCGACTATTTTGTCCTATAGTGGCTCATGAAGTGAGCCATAGATGGTCACGTCGTGAGGATTTGTTGACTGTTGACTTCGTTGACTTTCGTTGACCATTGACTTTTTGACCAAGTTTGACTTTGGGTCAAACTTTATGATTTTGGGCTATTGATTGAGATTCTATCTTGTTCTGGTGTTAGTTGATTCGTGGGAGCAAGCAGTTCTTAAAAAGGGATCGTATTGCAATGTTCATAGTTCTTCGATTCTGGTGAGTTTCGCCTCACTGTACCGTGTGTCGAAGGCACCAATGTCGGACCATTAGTTTTGGTTATCTTTAGTAGAGGGATGTCATAGGGAATGTATATAGTCATCTAGGATAGAGTGAGGACTCTTGATCTAGGCTTTCTTTCCTGTTCCTTGTTTGGTTGTAGTTCTAGATATGATGACATGTCCGGGTGTCTATATTCTCACCTATGAGTATATACGGTTATGCATTCTTTGGATTGTTGGTATATAATATGTTGTTATGTTGTAGTGATCTGTTAGATCTATATACTGATATATAGGATGTTGCTATGATGTAGTGATCTATTAGATCTGTATCTTGGTAT